ATATAGAGATTCAGGCTATGCTACAAAAGACCACACGTCCGGCACTGGTCCCTGTTTCTGCAGTTGTATTGATCGTGGGTCTGATGGGCGCTCTCGCAGCTTTGGGAATAATCTTGGTGCTTCAAAAATAGGCTCAATCAACTGCGATACGGTTTGTTATTAGGAGAAAAAAATTATATTCCATCACTTTACCAAGACAATCAAGTTGTTCACCCATAAATCTGTACTAAGAATGAGTTATGAGTCCTGATTTGGCTGTTGTGCCGGTTTTGGTGGAGTGGACAGTGAGCTTGGGGAAGGGACTTGGTGATTGCTACCATCAGGCGGGCGCAGCGCGCTAGTGGCAGCTCTTAGCGCGGTCTATGAATTTCAATTGAAGCTCCATTTCCGCGACCAGCTTTCGCAGCCCCGCGCAGATCAGCACTCGACACTCTGAACCCAAATCTACACACCTACTCGATACCGTACACTTAGTCCACGCGGTCATAAAACGCCAAAATGAGGTTGACAACAGACCTGATCAACAACTCTCTATCCTTCATCAACTGTCTCATGGAGCGTGAACTCGATCTACGAGGTGCGTTGAAAAGAACAGATACTGCACTTAAGAGCTGAGTTGATATCAAAACCATTACATCTAGGTCACAAGATATCTGCCATTGAAAACATGGGCGCAGCGCGAGTAAGTTGGTCTCATGTTTGTTTGTACGACGGCTCGGGAAGAAGATGCCAACACATGACCTAGGACAACGACGCCATAGACCTCACCGACAATGACATTGGTCAGCTTGGCAACTTTCCTCTTCAACCCCGCCTCCGTACCCTGCTCCTTGCCCAAAACCGAGTTTCGAACATTCAACCGAGCCTCTCGTCTAGCATACCGAACCTACGCACACTAGTTCTCACCAAGAACCGGATCACAGAGCTGGCAGATCTCGATCCCTTGGCTGGCTTCAAGTCTCTCACATACTTGTCACTAATGGGCAACCCAGTCACCAGTAAAGAGGTATGTCATGAGCACTCATGCTTCTCCCGCTTCTGTCCCTACACTAGTGCCAAGCGCTTTGGGTATACAGCTGCTGACTCGCAGTAGAACTACAGATACTGGGTCATCTGGCGCTGCCCAAGTGTGAGGTTCCTCGACTTCGCCAAGGTCCGCGATGTTGAGCGGAAGAAGGCCCAGGAGTTGTTTGGAAGTGCAGACGAACCGACTGAACTTGCGAACCAGGTGTGTTGGAATGATTTCAAGTACGGGTTACATACTGAGATTGTTAGATTTCGAGCAACAAATCAAAAGGTTTCGTCGTTCCTACATTCGCAAACGGACCCGACTCGAGCAAAGAACGCATCTATACCGACGACGAAAGAAAGAGGATGCGGGCTGCTATTCTCAATGCAAGCAGCCTGGCGGAGATGGCGCAGCTGGAGAAGGATTTTGCAGAGGGACGGATACCAGCGCACATTCTTGAGGGTGGAGACCCAATGGAGACGTAATTGGTACTTGGTCAAGAGGCTGCACAAGCACGGAGAACGAGGTACATGGCCAAAAAGATCTTTGGACTGCAACTATCGATGGGTTGCGCACGCAAAGGGGTGTAACAAGGAAGTGAGGGCCCTGTATTCAAGGCCATGAATTGTGATATTTGGTGCGTGTCGATAAGCGCGTGTTGGCGCACAGCATCTACCGGATTACATGGATGGTTTAGGATGACGTCGCCGAGACAGGACGTTGAAGCACGACTTTGGAAGTAGGTTGATGTGTAATTCTTGAACCAGATTGCTTCGCGCTGGAAAAGGCTTTACCCACCCAATGGTATCGTAGTAGCAGTAGTAGTACACTCAAAACGCCAAAGTCAAAGACAGTGATCCCATGGAGTCGAGACAAAAGACAGCTGCCAGCAAGTAGGGATATGAAACTGCGTGATTACCGTTACCAGCCCCTTCCCCTCCCACCTCGCCCACCCCTCCCCCCGGCGCCTTGGTGGCCCTGCTGGAATCCGCCGCCCTGTTGCCCACCAGGTCCGGTGGGGAAGCCTCCCATGCCCTGACCAGCCATTTGCATGAAGGACGCAAAGTCCATCTGGCTCGGGTCCATGCCCTGTGCCATCATCTCTTGCATCATCATTTGCATTTGCTGTTCATTCATCCCACCAGGGCCCATGGCTCCGTTACCGCCGCCGCCGCCACCACCACCACCGCCGCCACCGCCACCAGGGCCAGTCGGGGGTGCGCCGCCTGGTCCTCCATTACCCTGTGGGGCGCCTCCCATGCCTGGCATGCCTGGCATAGGACCACCGCCCATCATGGCCTGCATCTGTGCCATATCGTTCTTCTGACCCTGGATGGTATTTGCCATGGCTACCTGACGCTGTCTGTATAGCTCCCATGTAAATTCGTCGAAACCATAGTTGAAGTAGTCGGATTGGTCTTCGCCCGGCCGGCGCCAAATCTTGTGTTCTTCTGCCAGGTCGGCATCAATGTCGACAGACAGAATCTCTTTTCCCTGGGGTGGATAGACGGGGTTGCCATTGACATCGATTGTCGAGGTACGTTGGGCAGGAAAGGCAGTGCCTGTGAGGGCAGAGGCAGAAATCTGGGGGATTGTACCGCCTGTTGCAGGCCCGGTTTTTGGAGGGGGTTGCTGTGAGGGTGTAGTCGAAGGCGGCGGTGCCTCGATCTTTATGGCCTTGGATTCTTGGGGCTGCTGTGAGCTATTGGGCGGCTTTGGTCAGCAGGGAAGAAGGGGTGGGAAGCCAAGTGGGAGCTTACGCAGCGGGTTTGGCTGGTGCTGGCGCCTTCTCAATGATGATGTCGATATCCTAGAGCTCCGTCAGCTTTGCTCGGCAGCTGTGGGCGCGGTGCAGCAAGCGACATACAGAATCACTGTCGTCGTCGTCGTCGTCATCATCGTCGTCGTCGCCTGACTCCTCGTCCATGGGCTCGTCGCCGCTTGAGTTGTCTTCGGCTTTGTTTGCGTCCTTGTTCTGCTGCGTCGCACTCTCGTCCCCATACAGATCATCGTCGGACTCGTCTGCCATGGCTCGCCTCCCGATCAGACAATACGCGCCTACCCGGCCGTGTCGAGAATGGCAGTGGATTTGAAGCAAGGAAAGGCGCGTCCACGTGATTCGTAGTCGACGCCAGACTGGCCTGGGTGCGGTTGCAGAGCGCACTGGGGCTCGCCCGTCGTTCAAAGCACGGCCGACTAACACTACTACTACAGTAGGCTAGCCAAGCGGAGGAGACGCGCCTTACCACCGTGTAGTCTGTGCTGCCCCTGCTCGCGCCCATCCAAACACTGCCTTCTCCATCAATCGCCTGCCCTCACCGCACCAACAACAGGCCATCTTGAGACGACATGGCGGGCTTTGGACGCTCCAATTCACTGAGCATCAACACTGGTGGCGGCGGTGGCCTTTTGTACGTCTCTTCCCATCGAACCACTATTCCACGCTCTGGACTAATGAGAGCAGTGGCAGCAACGCATCCACACAGCAGCAGACGCCACAACAACCCCAGCAGTCCGGCTCGCTGTTTGGCAATCTGAACAAGCCTGCGACCACCGCGCCCGCAAGCGCGGGGCTCTTTGGCGCGTCTACAGCGCAGCCAACGCAGCCCCAAAGCGGAGGTCTGTTTGGCGGCGCGCTGGGCGGAAACACACAGAACCAGACTCAGAACACCACTCAGCCAAGCAGTCTGTTTGGTGGTGCACAGTCTAAGCCCTCGCTATTGTAGGTCATCACCACCTTTTGTTGCGGCCAAAAGGCTAACTTGATCTCTCAGCGGCGCATCCACTCAACCGGCAACCACGCCCTCTTTGTTTGGAAACAACACCGCCAACCAGCAGAACCAAACGTCCACCCCCTCGCTGTTCGGCTCAACACAGCAACAGCCTCAGCCCCAGCAACAGAGCACCTTGGGTGGAGGTATGAATTTCCCCAACACTCTTGGCGGCTCTACGCTTGGGGGGACTCAGATGGGCGGGAGCGCACAGCCAGTCCAGTTGACCCTCGACTCAATACGAGGGACTACACGATTCAACGACCTGCATCCCGAGCTACAAACACTGATCCAGCAGTTTGACGAGGGTGTTCAGCGAAAGATTAACTACTGCAGCCAAATTCGCGAATCGCTCCCCGGCAACGAACGTGATATCTCTAGCATCGCGCCTGATGTAGCTTACATCGAGACCTTTCTCTCCACGGTCGAAGTGGGACTCGACAACGACTCGGCAAACATTGCCCATCTGAAAAGCCTTGTCAAGAAGGACGCCGAAGATGCGACTCTAAGTTTCCGCGCAATCGAAAATCAGCGACTACCCGCCCAATTTCATTACCGCAACAACGGCAATCTCACGGCCTCGAGTGCAAAGACACCAGCCACTAGTGCGCTCGACGATGATGATCGAACAAAGCCTGTGGATCTGATGAGCTATTTTGACCGCCGAACTGATGAGCTTAGTCGCACCCTCGACGTGTATCAGCGACAAATCCGCGAGATTGAAGCTCATCTGCGCACGATGGAGGCGGGCACGGTAGAAAAGGCCCAACAGTTGACGGGCAGCCGAAGTGCTCCACGCGACCAGCGGCGCGAGTTGGTCGAAGCACTCAAGGCCATTGAAGGTGCCATTTTGGATTCTGCAAAGAAAGTGGGACAAGTCAGAGATGATGTCACCAAGCAGACACTAGGCAGTGTTGGTGCTGCTCTGCTTTGATCCTGGCTCGTCGCCGAATCAGAATTGCAATGGGCTGCATTTTCTTTTGTCTTCTCTCTTCTCGAAAAACAAGTAATTCTTTGTGTATAGACTGATGGGAATGGTACTAGCCACCAGGTCGGCGTGTTTGATATGTGTTTGCTGCAAAAGTCTGGACATTTCACAAAACTAGATACCCAAGGAAGCCTGATAATTTGCACACTCATGATAAACACTCTACCCTACCGACATGCATAACCATGACACATTGGACATTGTTTGCATGTATATACATGTGTATATCTGCCTACTTCTTCAAAGCAGCCTTCACACTCGGCACCTCGTCTTCCTTGTTGAGGATATCAGGCAGAGGCCCGATAGGCGTGATCTGGAACTTATTGATTTGACCGTGGCTCTTGGTGTAATGCTTCTTGATGTGCTCAAAATTGGTCGTGTCTTTGAAGGCAGGGTAGTCCTGTTTGCAGCATTAGCATCGAGTTCAACAATCATTACAAAAAAACGTGTTTAATGCAGTTGGCTTACCCAGTACAAATGTCTCAGCCATTTGTGAATGTGCGGGTATCCTGAGCGGATATCACGAATGTTGCATTTAAAATGCTGTACGTAGACTGGGTCAAAGCGGATGATGGTGGTGAAAAGACGAACGTCTGCTTCTGTAACATGTGGTGCTGACAAAAGATATGGGGTTGTCGACTCCGAGAGTGACTCTTCCAGTCGGTCTAGAGACTTGAACAGTTGGGTTACAGCCTTTGTGTATGCTTCTTCAGTCCTGTCCTCACGATTAGCATGTCTTTTTTTTTTAAAAAAAAAAAAAAAAAACAAGACAAGAAGATGGTGATAAGCAAACAGGGGGACACACGTTGCGAATCCTGATTTGTAAACACCATTGTTGATATCATTGTACACCCACTCATTCATCTCCTCAATGTCCTTTTGCAGGTCCTTGGGGAACAAATCAACCTTCTTGTACTTTTCTTCGATGATGTCGTCAAAAGCCGTGTACATCATCCTGATAATCTCCGCTGACTCATTGCTCACTATCTTGTTCGTCTTCCTGTCGTAAAGCGTCGGTACCGTGAACCGCCCCTCATAGTCTGGGTTTTGCTCAAAGTAGATGTCCCGGAGATGTGTGTAATCTTGGTGCAATGGATCCGGTATAGTGTTTCCTGGAATCTTTTCTTCGGATGACGTAAATCGCCATCCTTTCTCCGCCATATGCCAGTGGACGCTATTGTATGAAATAAAATCTTCAAGACCCTTCAATTGGCGCACAATCAGTGTGCGATGAGCCCATGGACATGCGTAGGAGACGTAAAGATGGTATCGACCTTTTTCAGGTGGAAACTCCGCATTGGGTGTATTCTCGATCCAATTTCGGAAGACAGAGGTTTGACGCTTGAATTCGCCGCTCTTATCACCAGGCTTGACCTTTGTTTAGAGTTAGAATGGATGCTCTTCTTGCACACTCCTTTACATGTGAGTATTAGGGGTTTGGTACCCAGTCTGTGATTGATCCCTGGCTTTCTCGTCCGGGAGCTTTGTCCATGGCTGCAGGCTTGTTGGTCACGGAGAAAGATCGTAGGTATTGTGTCGGGAAAAAAAGATAGCGCAAACGCGGCGTGCTATGAAGCTGGTAGATGGGTACTCGCGGGAATCGCAAGGCACGCAGTGACATGGAATCAAGTTCACTCTTTCTTGAAGATCTGCCCAGACTATATATAGCTGTCATGGAAGGCTTTTATTCCATACCAGCGAGAACGTCATAGCGTCATTGCATTCCGATTTGGTGGGGCACGCGTTCCGAGAGCGAGTTACTCAGCATTGCACAAGCTTTACTAACCCTTGCGGATGACAAAGAGCTTAGGGATTCTAGACATACATGATGATTTTCCTGGATGTCACAAGAAACCGATCTCGCATACACATGACGTATCAGATGACAAGGAGCAGGAACTAACAGTATGAGGATGAGCAGACGTCATCCATTTATTCCATTGCCAACTACTCTTGAATTGTGCACTGGCATCTCACGATAACCTGGGTATTGAAAAGTCCCAACCAAGGCCCCCTCCACAACATGCCTAGAAGAAAACCTGGGGGTCAAGCATATGACCCGCTTGATTCCTCGGCACAAAGGCCATTTCCAGTGAGGGCCTGACCAATACTCGCTAAAACGCAGCAAAGTGAAACACAAAACAGAAACATAAACTCGGAAATATAATACACGTTCAAGAGAAAGCAAATGTCCACAGATGGGAGTGCGCAGCAGAACAAGCTCACCAAGCTTCACTCAACCTCAGTCAACCATCGGCGGATGCCCTCTTTCAACGACGAATCATTTTCAGTCCTTGGCAGAGCGGTCTTGGTCGTTGTCGCCTTCTTGTCGTTGCTACTTTTAGACGCATGTCTGCCACTCCGTTCAGCGGTGACCTCCTTCACCACGACTTCCAGCGCTTCAAAAAGAACGCTCTTGCAATCTATGTGGGGTACCTCGACGTGCGGGATGGCGTCAGAGTCTCCTCTCGTATCACGGCGCCCTCTTCTGCTACTCGAACGAGACGACTGAGCCGAGTTGGCGCGTGTTACCTCTCCTGACTGGGCAAGCACACGGTCCACACCGTCGATGAGGGTGGCATCAAAATCCATGATGGTTTCCGTAACAAACTTCTCGGCAAGATGAACTTCTGTCATCATAGGCGCGACGGTGCCAGATGTGTAGGGGTTTCCATATTGAGAGCGACCCGGGAGCACGCCCGGTGTCATGGCTGATTGTTGGTACGTGGGAGTTGGAATGAGTTTGACTAAACGTCGCAGACTTATGCGCTTGATAGAAAAGTTGCTAGTATCAGCGATAAGCGCAGAACATATATCGATCCAGCGCTCAAGCGGACCAGACTCCAGGCTAGGGGTGGTGATGGCACTGAGAGGTGTGGGTTCCGCACTCATTGCCCGTTTGATGTCACGTTCAAGCTCACGGTAAGGCTTAATGGCTTGGACAGCAAAGTCCGGATGGAACTGGCTGAGCCAACCAGCAACATTCACGGGCTGCTCCGGCTCACCGTGTGGCACTGAGAGAACAGATGACTCACCAAAACTAGAACCCGGTTGGCTAGAGGCTGATCCATAGCCCCCTAGCAGTGGTGATTGGAGTGGAGAATCGAAATCCGGCAGTGGAATATCAACATCAATAACACCGTCTTTCTCGTTGACCGAAAGCTTCAAGTGGCCCTCAAAAGTCTTGTGACGCTCAGGGATAGGCCGTGCAGCTGAAGCAGGAACTCCAGGGCAGCCAGCGTTAGAGTAGGTATCGGGAGAGATGTTATCAGTGGAAGGGTCAAGAGCAAGCGGGGAGTCGGCAGCATCGCTTTCAAATACACGATCCATCGAGAGCTCCTGTACCATTAACTCAAGCTGCGATCGTGACCTCTCCTGCCCCCGATATCCAACACCATCGTCTGTTGTTTGAAAAAATTCACTCTGGTCGGTAGAAGACGAACGCCGACCACTCCAGAAGTTCATAAAGCCACTCCATCGACTTGCGTTGCTCGAATCATTACTTGCAAGACTGGTTTGTCCTGTGCCACTTCTTTGTAAGGTACTAATCAGGTTTGAAGATGCCAAACTGTCACTGCTTTCTGGTCTTGTTTCAGAGGCAGGGCCAAATGATTTCGTCCTAGGAAACGTAAAGTGAGCAATAGGGATTGTCTCTTGGGGTATGATTGTCGAAGTGGTCACTGTGCTGCTTGATGTCACGGATCCTTCAGACAAGGAAGGAATCACTAGACTCGTGCGGACCGAATGTGCGGACGAACGCCGAGAGTGTCCTGTTGGTCGGACAAGCTCAGGCGCCTCAATCACAGCAGATTCAGAGCGCTCATGTGTTGGCTGCACCGGTATCTGATGTACGCTCTGGGGCCTCGGTGGCTGCAACAGGATATTTGACATGCTTTGCTTGCTACGCGGTCCTCGGCGGTTGATTTGGCGGCGTAGGGATTGCTGCCTCGAGGGAGGCATGTTAGTTGGAGGCGACTGAGAGTAGGCTCGAAGCGACGTCGAAGTGCTGGGTCGGATGTAGGCACTGTCCGCTAAAGCGGGTGCATTGGGTGGCAGAAAAGCAGCGAGAAGAAAAATTAGCCTTCGAGCAGCCATCTTGTCTGGAGACACGATAACAGTGCGGTTAGAGATGGTCAGGTTCTCACCAGCCGTTGCCTTTTGTTTTTCGCGGTGGCGCTTGCGATGCCATTTGGGACCCAGCGTGTTCAGCCATTCGGTGTGGTTGCCCAAAAACGCCGTCAAGAGGTTGAAGAAGAAGAAATTCTGCTCTCGGCGGCCTGCCCATCGACCAAGCCATCTAGCCTCCTCGCGCCACACGCCCCATTTGCCTTGGCCAGTCATGACGCGTGGAATTCTCATGCCGCTCACCACACGATTGCCAGTGAGTTCTGCTGCTATTTGAATTTCCCGATCCATCATCAGGGCATTAGGTTGTAGCCTCAAAGCTCTCCGAGAATATTGGAGAGATGGTTCGCGAAAACTAGTTCGCGAAGACTGGCTCCGTTGATGTTGGGCTCCTGTCGGAGTAATCGGTTCGGGTGATTTTGGCGACTTGAACTGCGCCAGAATGCGCTCTTGAACCACATGTTGGAGACTAGTAAGTGCACGCATGATGACATCCCAGTGCTGGCCCACTACATCGACTCGATCGTCGACGTCGCTGCTCAATGAAGATGAAAAGAGTGAATCAACTCCAAGGTTGGCATCAACAAAAGCCCATCCTGCACGCCGGTCCGAGTCTAAGGATGAGGCAAGCGATTCCTGGCCAGGGGCAGAGGTGGATAGATGTGTTGGATTCTTCAAGCTTGTACCGCGTGATGACGGTCTCAGGCTCGGTATTGTTTGCGATATTGGCAGGTGGAGGATGATGGTGATGGCGTACATGGGGCTCTTTCGTGCATGTGAGGGATACACGGGTTTGGTAGCAGCCGGCTTGGAATTTGATGCTGGAAAAGGAAAGCCATTGCCCTTCGGAAGTGAACTTTGTGGTGTCGGTGTGCGGTCGTCGTTGTCCTCTTCTGGCATGGTGACGGAAAACATACGGGTGATGAAAATAGTCCTTCGCTTGGGCTCCTTTGGTATGCTCTCGTTGGAGTCGTTGCGTGCCAGATCGGTTGGCGGGTTGGCGGGAGTAAAAGATTTGGCGAGATGGCTTCTGCGACGGAGGCCCTCTGCGCGGCCCAAGGAGGTGGTGGCATCCTGTATGCTCGTGCCCAGGACAGATGAGTCGGTGGGCCTAGTGTCCAGAGGCACAATGTGTATTTTGTTCGAGTTGCCTCTGTAGTTCATGGCCAGATTGCCGAACATGCAGTCGAGGCAGATATTGGCCAGGTCCGTCGACTCTTTGGCTCGTGCCTGCGCCTTGGCTTGGAGCTGAGCATGCTCGTCAATGTTTGGCATGGAGGATATGGAGCTGCCGCGGGTTCGGACGCGGGTGAATCCTCCGACAGTGGGCGAGCGTGGTGGCGCCGTAGGCTCTGTAACAAGGGACGATCTCCGCGCATGAAGACTGCCCAATGCCGGAGCCGCGGTGCTGGCAGTACTGGTAGTGCTGGAGTTGGCTCCGCCAAACGCTCGTGCGCGTGGGTTGGGACTTGTGGACGGTTCGGGGCGTGGGGGGGCAGGCTTGGAGTCGAACAAGATAGCCTTGGGCATGGCCGGAGTCTCATCTTGGGCGATGATGATGCGGCAGTCGCGAGGATAGTCGAGGTCGATCTCAGGCAGAGGCCCGTCATGTCCGCTGCCGGGCGTCAGGGGTGCGGCGTGCAAGGGATAGGGCTGGCCGTCGGGGTGGTAGAGCGTGTTGGACTCGGGATACAGCAGATGTCGCGTGTGGCTTTCTTCCGTGGCCGAGTCGAGGACCGTGGGCGAGGCGGCGTGCGACGCGTTTGTGCCCTTGCGGCTGCTGAAAAGATGTCCGATCATGGCTGGCAATGGGCGCATTCCGCCATGGGAGCGTGGGCGGGGGCCTTAGTAGTGGGCGAGGAAGCCGTCGTCGAAGTGGCGGGCTCGAGCAGTACGGCAGCCTCGTAGACCCATGGCAGCGCCCTGTCGACTGCTGGGGGTTGTGTGGTGGGAGGGCGAGGGCGAGGGTGAAGGTGCAGGCAGAGGCAGAGGTAAAGAACGAGGGGTGAGGGGTGAAGGGCTGTGAAGGTGATGTCACACGCGGCGGTTTGGCGAGTGCAGCATCCAGCGTGGCAATGTACAGTGGGTGCACGGGTGCTCGTGAGGCGGCAGGGCAGCACGAGGCCGTGGAGACAGAGGGTGGTGGAGCCTGGAGAGGGGCCGTGGGTGGATGCGTGCTCAGGCAGCGTGTCGCGTGTGTGCGGAGAGGGAGAGGGTGGGTTTGGCTGCTTAGTTATGGAAGGGCGGTGAGAGGGCAGAGAGGCTGAGGGCGTCTTGCCAGAGCAGTCGACCTGCACCCCGACCCTCGATCTTCCGCTACGGTACATACTACCAGCACAGGCTGCCTGCACATGACATGCATCTACCTACCGACCTACATGCATACATGCATGGCACCTGTACACCCATACACACACATGCGCGCAGATGGACGCTCACGCTCTTGATAATGGTGATGAAAATGACCATAATAATGACAAAGCACCCGTACTTGGACTCGCACCATCACCACTACCACCGCCACCCGTGCCGCCACTCATGACCATATGGCATCCTATCCGCCGCCAGCCAGCCAGCATTCCACGCCTACCGTAGCTCGTCTCCCAGGATACCCTAGGCTCTTCTCATGCATGTGCTGCCAAAAAGCCTTGGTGCAAAACACAACCACTCTGTCCCCAAGCCCCGACACGGCGCGAGCAGCGCTACATTCCAGTTACCGCTTCCACGACAACAATACAAACACAAGCGACAGCAATAAGAGGCGGTGTATCCATGCCGAAACCACAGGCACATACACAAGAAGCTTTGTTACATTTGTCCGGAGCCGCTCGGACCGCGCTTCTCGCCAGCACCGCAACATCACCCAGAAGCTTTCTGCCAATACATGACCGCCTTTGCAAACGTCAAGAGCGCCTCACTATCTATCGCCCGATATCGGCCATGTCCACCAACAGCAGAATCGCCTTGAAGAGGGCGAAGATCTCTACCCATCCAAACAACAGCCCTGTGTCCCCCNCCCCTCCCCCCACTAGCCCGCTGTTTGCTAAATCTCGTATACAACTAGTGCAACACATATTCTCTCCCACTACTCTACAAGTCTGCACACCACCAGGTAACACCATGTGCTTGGTCAGAGTAACTCGATTAGGCCGGCATAGTGACTGATGGAAGAAAAAAAGCGCCGAGTATTGCGCCCAAAAAACTACAGTACTCCTTGGACACGCACATCCAAGACACAATGCACAACGCCTGGCGCATACATCTTAACCCACTCAACATGTTCTACCCTTACAGCCATGTTGCCTGTCCTGTCATTTCGGCGCTTGACTAGCTTGTCAATCTCTCCCTCAATCTCTTTGCTTCTCGACTCGACGTCTCTGATCCCAATGTTCTCGTGCACGTGGATCCATCCACCACGTTGCCCATCTAGCATATCAACTGCAATACCCCATGACAATCTCGAAGTAGGCAGTAAGCCTAGGTTTACATGCCGAATGGGCAGCTGGCAAACCAAGCCCAAGCTTGTACTCATAGCTGCATAGTCTAATTTGGCTCCTTCATTGCTTGCCTGGAACACCCAAAAGTCTGCTTTTTGTAGGTCAGTTGCATTGAGTGCTGGGCAAGCAAGCTCATTCGGGGCCTCTGTACTATTCTGCCTCAACCGACAAAGGTCGTCTCCCTTGATAATCTTGCATAACCAACCATTCCTCTCTGCGCCTCGTCGTAGACCTTCAACTGACCATGGATTGATTTCCCAGCACAGTACTCTGCGAATCCCGTCCTGGCGGTACTCTCCACTCTTCTTGTATGAAAAGGCAAAATAACCTATACCTGCATAGAGATCCACAGCTGCCGAGGCTTCGTCCAAGTCAGTGGCGACTGCAGCGAGGTTGAGTATTCGAGTCTTCTCGCGGATGTTGCCACGGCTAAACATAGTATATAAAGGTGCCCAGACTTGCCAAATACCGTTTTGTTTTGTCGTTACCCATAAAGCTCGTTCAAAGTCAGTGGCAGTGGGACATGAGATTGTCTGAAGCGTAGGGCTGGGTCCAAAGTCACCGTGTATCGGTACAAGATTGACTGGTCGGCGCAGAATGTTCTCTTGGTTGTGGCTTGCCCCTAAATCCATATTGGGGTTGGTGTTTGTCTTTGGTGGGATAGGTGAGTTGATTGCTACATGTGTTGCACCGACTGATGCTGCAACGTGCTGCCAGACCGGCGCTAGCAACTCTGAATCCACGGCATGCCGAGATAGAAATGACTCCCATTCTATAGATCCAAAAGCATTGTGTGGAAGCAGAAGCATGGGTTTGTATATTGAGTACCCATCTGGGAAAGCGGAGACAAGGACTCCATGTGACAAGTCCATCTCAGATAGCACCGAATCCTGTAATATCGACAGAGCTTCTTTCAATGCTCTGTGCATCGGGCTTTTCATGACTGGGGATTTGAGAGGACTAGCTCCAGCGGCATGATGTGCTAGTTCAATGTCGTAGTGAAGATGCCCCAGATCCAGGTTCTGTAATATTGCAGACTTGAACTCATGACTGCTTTCTTCAGTCATATCCGCGTTTGCATCGCCACTGATTGAATTATAGAAGATGGTTGTCAGGATGCGCATTCGTGGCTGGAGCACACCCTCTTGTACTGGCACCAACGCATCCTTCCCAGCAGGAAGTTCAACTTTCTGTCCCTTAACAAAATCGTACTCGAATGGTGACAACCTCGTTTCGCCATACGTACCGGATGATTGCGTGGTTGGTGTTTTTCGAACTGGAACTACATCGCCTTGTTTCAGGGTAGTATGCGCGGCGTGTGTCGTAGCATTTTCGCACGGCTCGGACACAATTTTGCTGCTTCGGTCGAGTTGGCCAGCTCGTTCAAGAGCAGATTTCACTGTCTTGACATGGCTCTTCGGAACTATGAACACGACTCTCGCATTGGCCTCTTCCTTGTCTTGATTTTCCGTTCTTTGGCCCATAGTATACGCAATCTGCTGGTTCTTATTGTAGCTGTTGGGAAATGAGTGTCATGGTTTTACGGCGTACACTGGAGAATCTGTGCATCTCAACGTAGCTAGCCCAAAGCAACTAATTACGACCAGAACACACACTGCTCAGACTGGACTCAATGGGCGTTGGACATGGTGCGGTTGAACATGTCTACTTCAATCGCAGACATGACAGTTAACTACATTGAAATGTTTTCATAATTGAGGGCAGGGCAAGGGCTGGCCGTAGTCATTGCCCAAGGCTGTACTACCCCGCCCCCACCATGACCCTACATAACCTTGCTGCCTACTTGCGGCCAGCAATCGACCTTCTGCACTCTCACGTATACCACCTGGCCTAGCATCCACACCAAACATGCCGCTGTCAAACATTGACCTCGTGAACCAATGTGACGGATTCCCTTACCCCGACGTAAACTTGGAAACATATCTCGCATCCATCAACACGTACTACCAACTGCGCGTCTCGGGCCACAACTATGGGCTCGGTTACATGCTACCTTCGGTTGTCGAAGTATTTCGCGGCGTCTCAAATTGGGAGATTGATGATAACGCGCGGATTCTATGCCTCGCAGCTGGCTCAAACGCACAAGAGCGGTCCGCAGCGGTAGAGACGACACTATTGGCACTGCGCAAAACCGGTCATTTCAAGGTACTGGACAAGTGGAGAGGGGAACTGTATGCTGTCTACGGTAAAAACAAAGAGTTGCTCTTCAACGTGGAAAGAAGTGCCAGTCCCCTGTTTGGTGTCATCACGTACGGTGTACACCTGACTGCCTTTACACGCACGCGTGGAGAAATCAAGATTTGGACTCCGAGAAGGGCACGTACAAAGCAGACATATGGAGGCATGCTCGATAATGCCGTAGCTGGCGGTATCGCGTCGGGAGAGAGCCCATTCGAGAGCCTGGTCAGAGAATGCGCAGAAGAGGCTTCACTGCCGGAAGAGCTGGTGCGCAAGAATGCAAGGGCGTGCGGTACAGTTACGTACTGGTACGTCCGCGACGAGAGAGCGGGGGGTGAGACGAACTTGATGCAGCCCGAAGTTCAATACGTCTATGATCTTGAGCTTCCTGAAGATACGATACCGAAGCCCGGCGACGATGAGGTTGAGGAGTTCTACCTATGGACCGTAGACGAGGTGCAGGAAGCTATGAGAAACGGAGAGTTCAAGCCCAACTGTTCCTTGGTCGTGCTCGACTTTCTCGTGCGACATGGCATCCTGACGACGGAGAACGAGAGGGATTACATCGAGCTGGTGAGCCGATTGCACAGAAAACTCGAATTTCCCACACTATGAAAATAAAAAAGAGCGTTGGGATTTTCTCGCCAGAGCTAGGAGAGCCTCTGAAGGCGTCCTTTTATTTCAAGAGGGTATCCAGACGCCTTGCCGAACTTTTAGACCAGAGGATACCAATACCACATGCCACCAAAACGCCTGCCCATGCTTTCTTTGTCATTCTCTCATATGTTCGATGACGCGCCCAACTATGAGTGCTTTACAAGCATGTAGATGTCGTCAATCTTTAGTCCGCTGAGCTTGCGATGGGGTCCTTCCATGTACAGCAAAAGCCCGCCGAAACTAGCAAAGTATTTTCTGCATGCAGTCAGTAGCCATTCCGATATGGCAGGGCTGCCTGGACAGTGCTCACATGGTATCTCCATTGCCTCCTTCCATACGGTAGTTTTTGCCGTAGCAGACATAGTCATACATATCCGCCAGCGTCGCTACACCCTGTTTGCCTACGTTTCTCCACATTGTGTCGTTCTCGCCCTTTGAGCTGCCGTCGAGGGCGAGGGTTGTGGCTAGGACCAGGGTGATGCTCTCGCCAACCGTTACGGGGAACAGCTCGTGGTTAATATCGAGGGTCATGGTAATTTGGCTGTCGGTCGAGGTGCCATAGATGCGGGAGACGCGATCATATTTCTCGTTGTTAATGGACGTGATGTTGAACGTCTCTTCGAAGACCTGGGCGTCGGCCATGGTGAAGGAAGGGGGCAGACGGGGATCAAGTGATCGAATGCGCGTGTGTTTGGGTGCGAAGTGCTGCGATGCCGATGCGACGAACAAAGCTTGAAGCGGCTGTCGGTCAGAGCGGCGGCATGTCTTGGCACCGCCTTTACCTCCGAAGCGCTCTCCGCAACTCCACCAGGGTGCACCGTCGCTCTCTCATCCACCAGCCACTCTGCCACAACCGGCCAACAATAGGCCCAACCCGCATCTTCGTCCTCACCCTCAGCCTCGCCTTCACCCTTGCACTCACACTGAGCTTCACAACATTCACATTGCACATGCCGGCTCTCGTGCCTTCTCTTCTCGTGATAACCCTCCCAATCGGGCTGCTGCTCACAGCGCCTGCTGCGCCCCAGCCTCCGTTCGCGCCCCGGACCCCCTTCTCTCTGCCTCTGACACGTCCCTGATGAGCTACGAGCGTTACTTGATGAATCTATTCAGCTTCCACGACTTCGACTACTTTTCGCCCGAGATGCTCGACTTGATTCCGAGTCGCGAGTGTAGTCCTTCGGGCTTTGATCCGCTCAATCAGCCGATGCCCAAGGCGGCCGCGAGCCAGAGCAGCATGCTGCTGAAACTGCCTGATGACATCTTCAAATGCGTCATGGACTACTTGGATCGCGACGCTGCGTGGAGTCTGAAGCGCCTGTGCAAGGGCATGGCAAACAGCGTGACCGTGAACCAACTACTCTACAAATACCCCATACAACTCAACGACGTGCGTGACATCAGGTTGGGCGACTGGAAGTATAGGAGCATTGGCAGGACCCGGTGGATGAGCTTCATGGACAGCATCAATGACTCCAACCGCCGCCATGTCCACAAGCTGGCAATGTCGCACTGGGCAAGCATCGACGACTTCAAGTGGATAGAGGACAATCTGCCTTGCCTCGCCAGCCTTGACATATCAGCCATTAAGGACTTTGTCTGGACTCCTGAAGAGACTTGGACATGGAAGATGTTGGCCGACGCTTGCCCATGTCTATTTGCACGCTTGGAAGAGCTAGAGGTAGCAAACTGGGCAGACTATACTGCACATTCTCGCATCGAATACAGCTACTCGTACCAGGACTACCGGTTCAAACAGAGCTTCAGAATATCAAGGAGACGAGACGGTGGATCTGTCGCCAACGCTATCTTCCCTATTTGCAAGAGTCTAAAAACGCTTGCGATACGGGAGCGATACTCAGGCTTCCAGTAAGTCGCATCGACATATCGTCATTCATCCATGCTAACTACCAGACCTAGCACATGGAATGAATGGGAGGTTCATCAACGCGTTTGCTGTCTCGTAGACGGCGTACAAAAGTACTGCCCAGAAACCATGACAAAGCTCAGGGTACACGACTACGCCCCCTATCGATCACTTTTTTCCACAGATGCGACAAAGTGGTCGCGCATCAAGGATGTCGAGATAGGCCTTTATTCCTGGATGGAGGACCGCCGTGACAGGGACGTCATCGGACCAATTCCATACCGGATAACGCAAGGTCATCACCATCGCGACGAGGAAGAAGCCTTTGACGACAAGACGTTTGACGCGTGCGAGCGCGATCACATGGTCCTGGGCAACCATGTTGTGCAAGGTGTCGGGGCGTCATTTGAAGACTTACTCCAAAGTCTCCAGACCATATCCAAGAAATACCCTAACATCAACATGAAACCTATTCGGAACCTCCGGAACATAACCTTGCATCCGTTTCATCTCGTCAACGTCATGCAGCGACGTAATCATTTTGGCCAACCCCCCCAGCCAACCAACGATCCAGCAATGAACGATCCGAGCTCCAAGCCCGAAGTGCAAGAAGCATTGCGATGGCTTGCGCGAGAGTGTGACTGGAAGCCAGTTCTTGCCTGGGAAAGCATGATGTGTGATGTCTTCCCTGCAAACCTAGAGCCCAATCGTACTTTTCTGCCCAAACCCGACATTCTCTCACGCATACAGACAATGGTGGCACGACTCAAAACTTTAGATATACCAATTCGCATCTCGATTGGTGATCGTGGAAATACTTGCCCGTCATCAGGTCTGGATGGTAGCTTGTACTTTGGCCCTTTCAAGACTTTTGTCGGCGAGGGTGCCGACAGGCGCGAAGTGCTTCTGCCGACCCAGGCAGTTTTTAGCCTCACCCCTATCGCCTCCATGGTGGACGAGCTGACCATTCAGTACCCTGCCGATGTTCCAGGCGTCTCGGGATGGCTTCGTGCAGCAAAACGCCCCACACCGGCAGAGAAAGCACTCATGGAGCGTGAGATGATTGGTTGGCGTCGCTTTTGGATGCGCTATGCTTCACAGTTCAAAAATCTGAAGAAACTTACTACAAATGTCCCCAATGACGTTTACGAGGACTGGGGAAAATCAGAGCTTGTCACGCTGCTTGAAGATGAGCAATGGCAGATGTTGGAGGTAGAGGACAAACAAGACTACAATTCTAGCAGCTATTTTCCTTTTAGCAATCCATCAACACTGAGGTACAGATTTCCGAGGAACCGTAGCAAGACGAAATTTGCTCAGAGGGTGTTTTTCCGGCTTAATACTGAGCCACTAGATCTAGTATTAGCTCAGCCCGAGCTGAGTGCTAAAGAGAGGGAAGAG